GAGTTAAACTAATAATGCAGGCACATAGGTCTGGTATAACCTTTGTTTGGGACAGAAAACAACAACAATACCACTTTGTTACTAGTTTCAAGACGACAACAATACCACTTTGTGACTAGTTCCAAGACGACAAATATACTACTTTGTGTCTAGTTCCAAGACAACAACAATACCACTAGGTGACTAGTTCCAAGACGACAACAATACCACTTTGTGACTAGTTCCAAGACGACATAATATCACTTTATGTCTAGTTCAAAGACGACAGCACTCCTACATTGTGACTAGTTACAAGACGACAACGATATCACTTTGTGACTAGTTCCAAGACAACAACAATACCACTTTGTGACTAGTTACAAGACGACAACAATACCACTTTGTGACTAGTTACAAGACGACAACAATACCACTATGTGACTAGTTCCAAGAACAACAACAATACCACTTTGTGACTAGTTCCAAGACAACAACAATACCTCTTTATGACTAGTTCCAAGACAACAATACCACTTTGTGACTAGTTCCAAGACAACAACGATACCACTTTGTGACTAGTTCCAAGACGACAACAATACCACTATTGACTAGTTCCAAGACGACGACAATACCACTTTGTGTCTAGTTCCAAGACAGTAACGATACCACTTTGTGACTAGTTCCAAGACAACAACGATACCACTTTGTGACTAGTTCCAAGACAACAACAATAAAACTTTGTGACTATTTCCAAGACGACAACAATATCCCTTTGTGTCTAGTTCCAAGACGACAGCACTACCATTTTGTGACTAGTTCCAAGAAAACAACAATATCACTTTGTGGTTAGTTCTAAGACGACAACTATACCACTTTGTGACTAGTTCCAAGACAACAATATCACTTTGTGACTAGTTCCGAGAAATCAACAGTACCACTTTGTGATATATCCAAGACGACAACAATACCACTTTGTGATTAGTTCCAAGACGATAACAATACCACTTTGTGACTAGTTCCAAGACGACAACAATACCACTTTGAGACTAGTTCCAAAACGACAACAATACCACTTTGTGACTAGTTCCAAGACGACAACAATACCACTTTGTGACTAGTTCCAAGACGACAACAATACTACTTTGTGACTAGTTTTAAGACGACAACAATAGCACTTTGTGACTAGTTCCAAAACGACAACAATACTACTTTGTGACTAGTTCCAAGACAACAACAATACCACATTGTGACTAGTTCCAAGACAACAACGATACCACTTTGTGACTAGTTCCAAGACGACAACAATACCACTTGTGACTAGTTCCAAGACAACAACAATACCACTTTATGACTAGTTCCAAGACAACAATACCACTTTGTGACTAGTTCCAAGACTAGTTTAGTTCCAAAACGACGACAACAATACCTTTGTGACTTTCCAAGACAACAACAATACACTTTGTGACTAGTTCCAAGACAACAATACTTTGTCTAGTTCCAAGACCAACTTTTGTGACTAGTTCCAAGACGACAGCTATACCACTTTGTGACTAGTTCCAAACAATATCGACAGATACCACTTTGTGACTAGTTCCAAGACAACAATACCACTTTGTGACTAGTTCCAAGACAACAACGATACCACTTTGTGACTAGTTCCAAGACGACAACTATACCACTTGTGACTAGTTCCAAGACGACAATACCACTTTGTGACTAGTTCTAAGACAACAACGATACCACTATGTGACTAGTTCCAAGACAACAACGATACCACTTTGTGACTAGTTCCAAGACGACAACAATACCACTTTGTGACTAGTTCCAAGACGACAACAATAGAACTTTGTGTCTAGTTCCAAGACGACAACAATATCCCTTTGTGTCTAGTTCAAGACCTCTTTTGTGACTAGTTCCAAAACAAACAATATCACTTTTGTGGTTACGACGACAACTATACCACTTTGTGACTAGTTCCAAGACACTTTGTGATATATCACAACAATACCACTTTGTGATTAGTTCCAAGACGATAACCTACCACTTTGTTAGTTCCAAGACGACAACAATAGAACTTTGTGTCTACCACTTTGTTCCAAGACGACAACAATACCCCTTTGTGACTCCAAGACGTTACTACTTTGTGAAGTTTTAAGACGACAGCACTACCCAAAAACGACAACAATTTTTGTGACTAGTTCCAAGACAACAACAATATCACTTTGTGGTTAGTTCTAAGACGACAACAATACCACTTTGTGACTAGTTCCAAGACAACAATATCACTTTGTGACTAGTTCCGACTAGAAATCAACGTACCACTTTGTGATATATCCAAGACAACAATGACCACTTTGACAGAACCCGATACCACTTTGTGCTAGTTCCAAGACGACAACTATACCACTTTGTGACTAGTTTCCAAGACGACACAATACCCACTTTTGTGATTAGTTCCACACAAACGATACCACTTTGTGACTAGTTCCAAGACGACAAAAAGATACCACTTTGTGACTAGTTCCAAGACGACATACCACACAACGATACCACTGTGACTACAAAGACGAACACGATACCACTTTGTGACTAGTTCCAAGACAACAACAATACCACTTTGTGACAACAATACCACTTTGTGACTAGTTCCAAGACGACAACAATACCACTTTGTGACTAGTTCCAAGACGACAACAATACCACTTTGTGTCTAGTTCCAAGACAACAACAATACCACTTTGTGACTAGTTCCAAGAGACAAACCATTTTGTGACTAGTTCCAAGACAACAATATCACTTTGTGGTTAGTCCTAAGACTAGACAACAATACTAGTTCAACAATATCACTTTGTGAGTTCCAAGACAACAATACCACTTTGTGACTAGTTCCAAGACGACAACAATACCACTTTGTGTGAAGTTGATAACAATACACTTTGTTCCAGACGACCAACAATACCACTTTGTGACTAGTTCCAAGACGACAACAATACCCACTTTGTGACTAGTTCCAAAAAACACTACCACTACCAATACCACTTTGTGTCTAGTTCCAAGACAACAACAATACCACTTTGTGACTAGTTCCAAGACGACAACAATACCATTTGTGATAGTTCCAAGACAAACAATGCCACTTTGTGACTACTACAACAACAATACAAGTGACAACAACAATACCAACACAATACCACTTTTGACTAGTTCCAAGATTACAACAATACCAATTTGTGACTAGTTCCAAGACGACAACAATACCACTTTGTGACTAGTTCCAAGACGACCAAACACCACTTTGTGACTAGTTTTCCACTTTGTGACAATACCACTTGTGAAAACGACAACAATACCACTTTGTGACTAGTTTTAAGACGACAACAATACCACTTTGTGACTAGTTCCAAGATAATAAAAATACTAATTTGTGACTAGTTCCATGATAACAACAATGCCACTTTGTGACTAGTTCGAAGACAACAACAATACCACTTTGTGATTAGTTCCAAGACGACAACAATACCACTTTGTGACTAGTTCCAAGACGACGACAATACCACTTTGTGACTAGTTCCAAAACGACAACAATACCACTTTGTGACTAGTTCCAAAACGACAACAATACCACTTTGTGACTAGTTCCAAAACGACAACAATAGAACTTTGTGACTAGTTCCAAGACAACAATACCACTTTGTGACTAGTTCCAAGACGACGACAATACCACTTTGTGACTAGTTCCAAAACGACAACAATACTACTTTGTGACTAGTTTTAAGACGACAACAATACCACGTTGTGACTAGTTCCAAGACGACAACAATATCACTTTGTGTCTAGTTCCAAGACGACAACAATATCACTTTGTGTCTAGTTCCAAGACGACAACAATATCACTTTGTGTCTAGTTCCAAGACGACAGCACTACTACTATGTGACTAGTTCCAAGACAACAACAATACCACTGTATGACCAGTTCCAAGACAACAATACCACTTTGTGACTAGTTCCAAGACAACAACGATACCACTTTGTGACTAGTTCCAAGACGACAACAATACCACTTGTGACTAGTTCCAAGACAACAAGATACCACTTTGTGACTAGTTCCAAGACGGAAATAATAGCACTTTGTGACTAGTTCCAAGACAACGTGTCAGGCCTGAACCCCAGATATAGTGACCTGTATGTGTCAAATGGATTGTTATTCCAATGTTAGGGATGTGTTCCAGACAGTCTAGCTATGTAGAACTTTGACTGCAGTTTCAACCTTCAAGGACCAGAAATCGCTGTCTTCAAGAGTTCATATATTCGTCTTAACCCGGAAACTCAACCTCAGCTGACACTATTTTGTCAGTGCATTAAGGGGGGAAAGGACATCACAAATGTATACAACTCCTTACAAAGAAGAGCAGATTGGGCAAGTTGCGAACAAGAATGATTTCTAAATTGGATTTTAACAGGGAATGAATGCAGACAGAAAACTCAATATTGACTCAGTCTGAGGGAGCTATTGTGACGGCGGCCGGTGAAATCTTCCGACTGCTGGTCCCGTGGTGATCTCATAGCGCCAGAATGGGAACTCGGGAGATCACTGAATTGTTGCAGTCAAGACGCAATATGTACGTGTCAATATACCCGCCACCCGCTGAATGTTTGGTGTTAACCCTAGAGAATACAGTCCCCAGGCAACACGGCCCGACAGCTTCCCTTTCTCTGCCCGCGCCCCGCGCACACACACGCACGCACACACTCACACATACACACGCACATTCACACACGTCAACATCCAGCCGGGTCGAGTTTGTAGCTGTGTGGTTGTGGCAATTAATTGGAGACAACCGGGTATATGCTCACAGTCAACTGCATTATACAAGTAAAAAATTATGGGTGTTTATCCACTTCTGGCCTATAGCATTGTTCCAGAATTTGATTTTTCGTGCACATCAGTTTTACAGCTCATAGGCGGATGCACTCAGACTTGTAAAAAAGAACCTAATTAATTAACTCTTACGACATGCTTGTTATGCAGGCAGTGTTCTGTTCTCTTTTCCACTCCCCGGAACACACACGGTCAATAACCAGAAAGTAGACAAGGAGAACACAATGATGTCACAGACAGCCCAGAAACAAGACAGTAAACATGGACAGTAAACATGCACAGTAAACATGCACAGTAAACATGCACAGTAAACATGCACAGCAAACATGTACAGTAAACATGCACAGCAAACATGGACAGTAAACATGGACAGTAAACATGCACAGCGAACATGCACAGCAAACATGGACAGTAAACATGTACAGTAAACATGGACAGTAAACATGTACAGTAAACATGGACAGTAAACATGTACAGTAAACATGGACAGTAAACACGGACAGTAAACATGGACAGTAAACATGTACAGTAAACATGGACAGTAAACATGCACAGTAAACATGCACAGCAAACATGCACAGCAAACATGGACAGTAAACATGGACAGTAAACATGCACAGTAAACATGGACAGTGAACATGGACAGTAAATACAGACAGTAATCATGGATACTAAACATAGACAGTAAGCTTATATAGCAAACATAGACAGTAATTATCATCAGTTCTCGTTATGCCCAGTGGCACATGAGGCTTCAAAGAAGACTTTCCATGCTTTCCTGTCCTGTGCAATCTTTAGTGCAGTTTTCCCATGTCAAAGTTGCCGCACTCAGGTCACTTTCCATCGTTCATCTCCATGTTGTTTTTGGGCGCCCCTGTTTTCTCTTTCCCTCTGGTGTCCATGTGAGAGCTGTTTTGGCAGGTATTTCAGAAGTCATTCTCATAACGTGGAGAAGCCATTTCCATCTTCTCTTGGTAATCATACTGTCTAAAGTTTCTTGGTTTGTGACTTGAAGTAGTTTAGTGTTTGAGATTGTATCTGGCCAGAAAATTTTGATAATTCTACGTAGACATGTGTGGTGGAAGCTTGTGTGCATCCTTTTTGGTCATTCTCCAGCATTCAACTCCATAAAGAAGAACTGGCAAAATGATGCTCTTGTAGAGTCGGAGTTTCGTTCCTCTGCAGTAATTGTTGGATTTCCAGATTTGCCTCATCCTTCCAAAAGCAGCTCTAGCTTTGTTCAGACGTGACTGTATGTCTTCCTCTGTCCCTCCCAGTAGGGACACCACACTGCCAAGATACGTGAAATGTTCTACATTTTCAAGTGATTGGTTACTTATGGTCACTGGTTGTTGGTTTGGACTGTTTGTCATGATCTTAGTTTTCTTTGTATTTATTCTCAGTCCCACCATTTCTGCTGTGCAGTTTAGTCTGTTACTTTTCTCTTGTATATTTTCATGTTTATGTGATAGGAGTGCTATATCATCTGCAAAATCAAGGTCCTCAAGCATGGTGAATGGAGTCCATCGTATGCCTCTTAATGTCCTGTCTACTGTGTTCTTTAGTATCCAATCAATCACAAGGTTGAAGAGGAGAGATGACATAACACATCCCTGTCTTACACCTATCTTTACTGGGAAAGATGTATTGTAGTTTTTTTATACTACAGGAAAAGTCTTTATAGAAGAGAGCAATTATTATGACTATTTTTTGGGGAATTCCATAATGTAACATTTTCCACAGACCGTCTCTATAGACGCTGTCAAAAGCTTTCTCAAAGTCCACAAAATTAATATATATAATTCTTTGCCGTTCGTTGCATTGTTCTAAAATGTTACGTACGGCGAAGATGTGCTCAGTTGTTCCTCTGCCCTTTCTGAATCCTGCTTGTTCCACTCGTAGGCATTTATCTACTCCTTTTTCAAGCCGCAATATATTGATTTTACAAAATATTTTGCTTGGTTCTGAGAGTAGAGTAATTCCCCTCCAATTATTGCAGTCTGTTAAGTCTCCTTTTTTGGAGATTTTGACTATTGTTCCTTCAGTCCAGTCATCAGGCAACACTTCTTTTTCCCAAATACCCTCTAACAATGGTTCTAGAATGCTAGCAGTTGTGTTGGGATCTACTTTGAGAAGTTCTGCTGGCAGTTCGTCTTTGCCTGGTGCTTTGTTGTTGTTTGAAGTGTTGATAGCTTTAAGGATTTCTTGTTTGCTTGGTGGTTCAGTAACAATGTCAATGTCCTGAGAGGCTGGTTGAATATCTGGGGGATTTTCAGGATCAGGTCTGTTCAAGAGGTTTGAAAAGTGTATAGTCCACTGCATGTCTTGTTTTTGTTCTGTGGTGAGCAGTCTGGCTTGGTTATCTCTGATGGGTATGCTGTGATAGTTGTTTCTGTTTCCGCACATTTGCTGGGTAATTTTGTGTAGGGTTTGTAGATCATGTGCTTTAGCAGCATTTTCTGCTGTTTCTGCAAGATTTTCCATACATCTTCTCTTGTCAGCTCTGGCACTTTTCTTGGTCATTTTATTTAGTTCGCTATATTCTAACATTAGTTTGTCTTTCTGACGTTCTGATTTAGTGGGATTTATGAGGCTCTTTATTCTTTTTCGCTTGTCAATATAGTCCATGGTTTGACTACTCATCCATTCTTTGTGGTGTTTTTTCCTGGTTCCTAATATGTTATTGCTAGTTGATTTGTATGTTTCTTTGATCTGGTTCCATCTGTCTTGAATGCTGATTGTAGTTGGAGTTTCTGGGTCACTTGATAGGGTTTGAAACAGTAAGCATGGACAATAAACATGGACAATAAACATGGACAATAAACATAGACAGTAAGCTTAAAAAGCAAGCATAGATAGTAAACACAGAAGTAAACACAGACTATAAACATGGACAAAAAAAACATAGACAATAAGCTTATATAGCAAACACAGACAGTAAACATGCAAGTAAACATAGACAGTGGACACAGACAGTAAATACTGACAGCAAACACATACAGTCAACATGCAAGTAAACATTGACAATAAACATGAAACAATAAACATAGTCAGTAAATATATACGGTAAACATGGATAGTAACCATAGACATTAAACATAGACAATAAACATAAAAAGGTAACATAGACATTTACAAAGTGGACAATAAACGTTAAAAAAAAAACAAAGACAGTAAACATGGACAGTAAATCAAACAGTAAACGTGGACAGTAAAGACAGACAGTAAACATGGACAGTAAATACAGACAGTAAACATGGACAGTAAACGTAGACAGCCAGACCATAGAAGGAGACAGTATAGATATAGAGAACACGGCAGCCAGAAAATAAACAATAGAACATAGACTTTGAGAAATAGACTAGATAAACACTGATTTTTTGTGTGTGGGTCCTGCGTGTTCTTGTATGTTGCATACGCTTTATACGTGGCTACATCTACATTATTTTCATGTTCGCTCTCTACGTGGCCACACATCCATTATGTGCATCTTCACTCTAATATGTGGCTACATATACATTATGTGCATCTTCACTCTAATATGTGGCTACATATACATTATGTGCATGTTTACTCTAATACGTGGCTACATATACATTATGTGCATGTTTACTCTAATACGTGGCTACATATACATTATGTGCATCTTCACTCTAATATGTGGCTACATATACATTATGTGCATGTTTACTCTAATACGTGGCTACATATACATTATGTGCATTTTTACTCTAATACGTGGCTACATATACATTATGTGCATGTTCACTCTAATATGTGGCTACATATACATTATGTGCATGTTTACTCTAATACGTGGCTACATATACATTATGTGCATGTTCACTCTAATATGTGGCTACATATACATTATGTGCATGTTCACTCTAATATGTGGCTACATATACATTATGTGCATGTTCACTCTAATATGTGGCTACATATACATTATGTGCATGTTTACTCTAATACGTGGCTACATATACATTATGTGCATGTTTACTCTAATACGTGGCCACACATACATTATGTGCATGTTTACTCTAATATGTGGCTACATATACATTATGTGCATGTTTACTCTAATATGTGGCTACATATACATTATGTGCATGTTTACTCTAATACGTGGCTACATATACCTTATGTGCGTGTTTACTCTAATACGTGGCTACATATACATTATGTGCGTGTTTACTCTAATACGTGGCTACATATACATTATGTGCATGTTTACTCTAATATGTGGCTACATATACATTATGTGCATGTTCACTCTAATATGTGGCTACATATACATTATGGGCATGTTCACTCTAATATGTGGCTACATATACATTATGTGCATGTTCACTCTAATATGTGGCTACATATACATTATGTGCGTGTTTACTCTAATACGTGGCTACATATACCTTATGTGCATGTTTGCTCTAATATGTGGCTACAAAAACATTATGTGCATGTTCACTCTAATATGTGGTTACATATACATTATGTGCATGTTCACTCTAATATGTGGCTACATATACATTATGTGCATGTTTATGTGTATGGTGTGACTGTAAAGGGCGTGAGAGAAGATTGCATCTTGTCACAAGTATGAACAGTAAACGTAAAACAACACATTGCAGTCAACCACTGGAGCAGATCGCAGCTCTCGCGTCATGGATGATTTCTAATGTACAGAACTAACGACAGACCACTAGCCCTGGGCGCTAGATCGTGGCTTTGATGTCGGGGCGTGTTGGTCGTCTCCTGGTGGATGTCGGGGCCTGTTGGCCGTCTCTTGGTGGATGTCGGGGCCTGTTGGCCGTTTCTTGGTGGATGTCGGGGCCTGTTGGCCGTCTCTTGGTGGATGTCGGGGCCTGTTGGCCGTTTCTTGGTGGATGTCGGGGCCTGTTGGCCGTTTCTTGGTGGATGTCGGGGCCTGTTGGCCGTTTCTTGGTGGATGTCGGGGCCTGTTGGCCGTCTCTTGGTGGATGTCGGGGCCTGTTGGCCGTCTCTTGGTGGATGTCGGGGCCTGTTGGCCGTTTCTTGGTGGATGTCGGGGCCTGTTGGCCGTCTCTTGGTGGATGTCGGGGCCTGTTGGCCGTTTCTTGGTGGATGTCGGGGCCTGTTGGCCGTTTTGGTGGATGTCGGGGCCTGTTGGCCGTTTTGGTGGATGTCGGGGCCTGTTGGCCGTCTCCTGGTGGATGTCGGGGCCTGTTGGCCGTCTCTTGGTGGATGTCGGGGCCTGTTGGCCGTCTCCTGGTGGATGAAGCGATACCAGCCTCCAGCTTGGTCTCATCCTGCAGCTGACAGCCAACCATCCACCCTTGGCAAGGGGCCGTTCTCTGGCGGGTGTCTGGGCCTGGGGCGTTCTCTGGTGGGTGTCTGGGCCTGGGGCCGTACTCTGGTGGGTATCTGGGCCTGGGGCCGTCTGTGGTCGGTGTCTGGGCCTGGGGCCGTTCTCTGGTGGGTATCGGGGCCTGGGGCCGTTCTCTGGTGGGTATCGGGGCCTGGGGCCGTTCTCTGGCGGGTGTCGGGGCCTGGGGCCGTCTGTGGTGGGTATCTGGGCCTGGGGCCGTCTGTGGTGGGTATCTGGGCCTGGGGCCGTCTGTGGCGGGTGTCGGGGCCTGGGGCCATCTGTGGCGGGTGTAGGGGCCTGGGAAGGTTCTCTGGTGGGTATCGGGGCCTGGGGCCGTCTGTGGCGGGTGTCTGGGCTTGGGGCCGTCTGTG